GCTACGGACCGGTGAATTTAGACCAGCACCGCATCGGACCTCCACCGCCCGTGCGCCTTAATCTCCTCAAGACCCACCCCAGCATTGGCAGCCGCGGGGTCCCGTCCTTGCGCAAGCTGTGGGCCGATATCCTAGCGAGATCTAGCCTCAGCTCCGGCTCGTATCCCTGCAATTCTCCCAGCAATGCATGCAGCCTGTCAGTGAAATCCCTGCGCCGCCAAGCCGAGCCCCGCTTGCCCGGCCAAGTGATTCCCCGTACGAAGAGTGGGGAGTGAACTCAGGCCGTTCTCACGCACTCCAGGTGCCGCTGCACTATGCGAGCGATGGGGATGCCGCTCTGGGTGAGCGCTGCAAGGCACACCAACGCCCCCGTGCCCTTCTGGTCTGTCTTGCTACGTACGATCTGCAGCCCCACACCCCCTCCCGGCAACTCCTCAACGCAGCCCACCTTCAGGGCCGCCAACTCGCTCCTCCAGAGCATCTTGAAAAAACCCAAGACCAGCCAGCAGGCGTCCTGGGTGAACTCCATTGCCCTCCGCGGCTCCGCATTTGCCCTGCACCGTAGCTACGCCACGAGCAGCTTCAGCACCCCCAGGGGCAGGGGTGCCTTCGTCTTGGTCGATGCCGACTCCAGCCTCGCAGCAACGCTTGGCCCAGGGTTCGCTTGACCAGCGGGTCGCGGCTGATATATGCCTCTGGCGAGACTCCCATGAACCACTGCCAGTCCGCCAGGGTGCTCAGCGTGCCGATGACGGTGGAGGCCATGTACCGGCCAACTGCATGCGCTATGAACAGACAGACCAGGTCCCGATTGAGGTCAGACCCACGCTGGCGGGGCAGGGCGCCCGCCTCCGGCACCCCTGCGACCTCTGTGCAGAAGTGTACAAAGTGTCGCCACCCCGACTCGTAGGTGACGGATGAGCTGTCTGTACCGCGCTGCCGTGTAATGCCACAGTCAGCTGTGCCAGTTCCTCCGAACACTCCCATGGGCCACTGTTCCGATACCCGCCGCCGCAAGCAAGCAAGTGGTGCAGCGGTACCAACCGCCGGGGTAGTGCTCCTGGGGTGATTCCGAGGCACTGACGATGCGCCGAGCAGGGGGCAGGCCTCACAGCGCAGATCCCCAGCTCCGCAGCAACGCCCACAGACGGAGCAGCTTCCCTCCTCCCGGTGACAGCCTGCCGGCACTGGCCAACGGGGTGCGGGGGGAATCTAGTTGAGCCTGAGCACAATCAAGTCGTACTCGCTGGGTGCGGCTTCGGCAACCCACGGGAAAAGGCAGTGCCGTCGGGAAGGGCGACCCAGCACTGCAGCGTGCCGGTGCAGGGGTGCCGAAAGGCCATGAATCGGCGCGCCTCTGGCGCCAGCTTGACGTGGTGGAAACCGCTCGCCAGGTCGCGCTTCCCCAGGAAGCCGTTGGCTGGCAGTTGTTCGAGAAGTGTGGCGAGATCACGGAGCGGGCAGGGGAGCTTGGTCATGCACTCGTTGACCCCAGACCGAGAGGGGTCGGTTATGGGACGGATGGAGCCATCAGGCTTGAGGACGACGTGCAGGGGGTTGACGACGGCAGCAAAGTCGGTCTCGGAGCCATGCACGCTGGGGTCATATTGCTCGGTGACGCCGGAAGCCAGGAGGTCATCGAAGTGCTGGCTCATGTCGGCGAGGTGTGGGAGGATAGAGGGATAGTTGTGGAGGTGGTGGGACGGGTTAGGCTCCGCATGGAATGCCCAGACGGCCGTGTTGCGGGATGCTGGCATATCCACTCCATACCGCAGCCATGCCTCGGTGATGAGCTTGCTGCCCGCGTGCCCGAACCAAGGGCGCCCCGGGGCTGGAGGGAGCGGTTCGGGGATTATGGCCGCCCCGCCCGTAAAGCTCAACCCCACTGCCGGCACCAGCACCACCACCGCCGCCGCCGGCGATCCGGCACCCCCCCTCCTGCCCGCCGCCTTGCCACCCGACATCAGAGAGTAAGTGGCGGCGGCGGCGGCAGCAGCCAGTTGCTCGTCCAGCTCTACTCGTACAAAGCCATCCAGCAATGGCGACCTTGGTGCCGCCTCCGCCGCCGACAGTTTTACTTCCGGCTCTCCGGCGGCCGCCTTGCCCGTTGGCTGAGATGGTGGCGGTGGTGGCGGCGGCGGCGGTGAAGGGAACACCGGGTCCACCACCTTCTGTACGACCTCCTCTATCAGGCGAGGTAGCAGATCGCTCAGATAGGCACCCGCACGGAAGAGAGCTGGGGAGGTGTTCACCTGCCACACCGCTACTTCTGGCGTATCAGCCTATCTATCCTCCGGATCAGCTTCGCGCGCGCGTTGTTTATGATCCCCCCGCACTTTCCAATAATCAATCTTCCTTAGAGCCCGGTAAGCTTAGTCTATGTAGCGCGAGACTCATAGACGTGTAGTCGTGGATTCGAGTCCCATACGCGGTAAGAATGTATTATGAAATGTAAGCTTACTAGTTGAAATCGGCGAGTATGGCCGCGAATGCTGCCAAGTGCGAGGTCCTTCACTTTTGGGGGCACTACACGTGAGCGAAAGCGGCTTATGGAAGCTGCGTATCGGTTAGGTGGGGTGGGGTTGGGGCGCTGACCGGCAACGAGACGGCACGGTACCTCGGGTTGCACTATGGCCCAGGAGTGCGGTTTTCAGCATGTACCAAGCAACTACTCGCAGCAGGGAGGCGGCCAGCACCCTGTGTCGAGATAAGAAAATTACCACCCCCAAGCTATGTATGTCTCTCTACAATACACTAGTTGTACCGGTGTTTTCTTAATAATATATCCGAATTCCGAATAAAAAATGTTCGTGGTCCTAAAAACTAGGAATGAATAATGTTTCCGACCGTACAAGTTCATTCCTCCAGCCAAAAATGGGCTGTCCATGCCAAAGCCGCTAGGATCTTACAGAACGACATACATATTAACCATATCATAGCAATG